AAAGATTAGAGCGGACATTGCTTTCTTCCAATTCTACTCGAAGCTTGGCCACTTCTTATTCAAGATCTACTAAAACGCTTCTGCTTATCCAAATCTGACTGTCTTTTTCTTAACTCCGCTACAGTCATTACAGCGGACGAACGACGGGAAATAATACTATGCTCAATCTTATGACTAATATGTGAACCAGAGCATGAAGCACCATCATGATATTCATCAATGACTTGCCGGTATGCTGCATCATCCATGGGATTTTCAGAGGTAAAATTCCTTGCAGACATTGTCCGATGTGATTGAGTGAGTTCCACTTCACTTCAAGGCGTAAAGAACCGTCCAATTCCGGAATCCAGTTGAAAGGCAAACGAAATGCTGTTGAGTACGGCACTCGAAACTTTAAACTTCACTCCAACGAGGAAGCAGTATTGAGTACTGTAAGCGACAATTCGCTTTGAAGGGCCTTGAGCCAACGCGTATCCAGCCAGTCAAAGAACAAGAACACTGGACAAGATGACGGTACTATTAACGAACAATCAGGAAGCAATAATATTACAAACCTCAATAGTAGCGCTTCCACTCAACGCAGTTTCAAAAGAGATACAATTCGGTCCGAGAACAACAAGAAAGGGTTCAGATCATCAATGCTATACAGAATACAGAACACTGGTTATATAGGACAAGTGAAGTCCATGCGATTGGTCAAACACAGACCGGAGGAAGGCCGGATGCGTGAAATGTGAGTGTGTGGGATGATAAGTACATTGCTCATGATCAGTGCGAGAATAATTGGGGTGATGGTTGCCGTGGTAGGGACAAAGATAATTGAGGTGATAGTTGCGGTGGTAGTGGCGAAGATAGTTGGGGGTGGTAGTTGCGGTGGCAATGGCGAAGATAATTGGGGAGGGAGGCGATAGTTGCGCTCGGATTAGTCCACACTCGATGGTTGGCGGATGGCGGAGTTGAACACAGGGCTTGCAGAATCCTACAGCTGGTGAGATGATAATCGATAGGGATTTGAGTAATAGTGGGTGAAGTCCGTCTGGTCCGGGGGGCTTTGCACGATCGAGATTGACGTGTAGCTGGCACACTTCGACTGCATCACATTGTAGGCTGTTGAGCAAGACTGGCGCAACCTGTGCCGGTACTGAAACCGCCGTCGGTTTATTGGAAAATACAGTGAGGAAGTGCGTAGCCAAGGCGTCCGCGCGCTCCGAGCTTGAAATGAGCGTCTTTCTGTCTAAGCTCTCTAAGACCGGTAGGTCGCCCCCAAGTTTCAGTTGATGTTTCAAGTAGGCAAATATTCTTTTGAGTGCAGTTGTGGCCGATGATGCTAGCTCCTCTTCGAACTGCCGGCGTTTCTTGATCATTGTGGCGTTCCATAAGTTACGCTGTTTCTTGTACACCGTGTAATCCTCATCACAACCCGAGCTGAGGTATCCATCCCAAAGTTTGCGACGCCGTCGCGCCAACTGTCTATATGCCGTATCAAACCAATGCGGTTTGACAGCTCCGATTTTCGAATACTTAGGGGGAACGAACCGAGTAGAGAGCGAGTTAAGCTTCCCTTCATTAATGACCAACAGGCCTCAAGTGACGCATCCTCTGATAGTGTCCAACCAGTCTGACTTGCAGCTTGGATGAGCCCGTTGAAGTCCGTCTTCCAATAGTTGAATGTCGGCTTCCGTTGATTGTAATATGGTAACGATAGTTCTAAGCTTGCCACAATGGAGCAGTGGTCGCTGTTCGCCAGAGGTTCGATGACTCTGATTTCGTTCAGCTTCTGCTCGCAGCTCGTAAACATTAGGTCCAAACAAGATGCCGAGTGCGGAGTTACGCGCGTAGGTTGGATGACATGTTGCGTTGCCCCGATTTCAATAGTCATTTTAGCGAATTGAGCCCCAACGTTGCCATGACCGGGAAGAAGTCGAACGTCTGGCCAAAATATCTTGGGTAAATTTAGATCCCCCAATCAGTAAGAACTGAGGGCTTCTGTACATGTGGTAGGCAATCGCAACAACGGTTTAATGGGCTCCGGTAGATAACTCCCACTATTAGTTCTGCGCGCCTGAGGCGGATTGTGCACCACAATTGCTCGCATAAACGATCCTCGCTCCGATAGGTGCTAGTGAGTTTACCAGATAGTGACGATTTTATGTAGAATAGAACACCACCGTGAGCCTTTGATTTTCGGTCGCATCGGAAACAAGAGTATCCTGACAACGCGACTTCTTGGGGTAGGACGTCAGAGTTCAGCCAAGTCGCTGCAAGTCCTAAAACGTCCAGCCGCTCCGAGACAACGAAGCGGCACAGTTCGTCACGTTTGTTCATTAGGCTGCACAGGTTGGCGAATGCCACACGGAGGTACTGGAAGGTACCGCGGGATGTGCCTGGCGGTACTCCAACAATTGACGCAATGTGAAGATGTAAGCAACGGAGCCGCGACTTTGGCGAAACCCGGTTTGTTCCTCACGCATCTAGGTTTCATGGGTGCTAGCAAGTCTATGCAGAACGATAGGCGAGTATCTTAGAACCAATTAAGAGATGACTGATCCCTCGATAATTGCCACATTCACAACGCGAGCCCCTTTGAAAACCGGGACTATATAAGGGGGCAGCACCAGTTTGTTGTGACAGTTTTCTGCTCTGACAGCTTTACATGTAACTTGCACAGATTATCTACAAGTGCAAGTGCCCTGAAAATGAAGAGAGCTGGAGGGATTCTATCAGTTCCTGCGGCCTTATTCACTTATAACAGCGTCATCTTATGTTCGGCTCCTGCGCGTAAATGCGGGTCCAGTGAGACAGCTTGGGGAGAAAAGTGATCACTGACCGATGTAGAAGTTGGTAAATCTGATTCATTAAACTGCTTTTCAAAGCATTCGGCCTAACGCTCCAAGCATTTTGACAATCTGGATTGGCCGTCCAGCCTAGTTACGTATGGTCTCGCTAACAGTAGGTGTCCTGCTGCTCGTTCATTGTATCAAACGGAATAACTTACGATGATTACCAAGAGCAACGGCTAATTCCATCTTCGATGCACGATGAAACCACCAGGCTTCGCGGTCTCTTTTCAAACCAGCATGCAGTCTTTCCCTGAGGTCTTTGCGAGTCTCGTGTTCGCTCCCAGCCGGATTGTTGGCGAGCAAACAAAAGTTCTAGAGACTACAGAGAAACGCAATGTCCAAGTTGGCTATTTGATTGGCCACATGAAGACATGCTTGCTGTCAATGAATACTGGTGGATAAGGGAACCGTGGCCCCCATACTGTGTTCAGAGAGCGCTTACTCAGATTGGATGCCAGTGTACTTCGATACGCATTCAGAACATATGACTTCGCTAGTTGGCAAGTATCTATGAGCTCACAGCGTCACCGCATGTGTCCACCGAAGCGAACTGTAAGATCGGCACAAACGAGTGCCCGGACAGAGTCTATTCTCGTGCTTCAAATGGAGCGACAGTTTAAGACATAGCCTCACCAGCGGTAATGGGTGGAATTGCGTCCGAGGCTAGTGGGCGCTCATGTTTGGTGGGAACACGGAGGTTCGCCAGTTCGTTTCTGGCAAAAGCTTTACGGTTTCTCACTCAAATGTGTACTGAATCTTAATCGCTTACGTCGGCTAACCCATATCCTCCGTATGTCCGTTGACCGGCTTTCTCAAGCGTGTATAATACGCCTTGACTGCACCAAGTTGGGCGAAAACGCGAGGTGACAAGTTCATGACCTGCCATAGAGGCATGAAAAAACTCACCGAGAGACTTGGTCAGACGGCCACATGCCGTCTTCGTAGACGGGTGCCTCAGGATGGTACACATCAGGAGTTGGAGACGGTATCAGACATGGCGCAGTCAGGCAGTTAGCGGCGTTCTTACATTCGGTTTCATGAACCTGGTTGTTAATTTTCTCCTATTCTGATTAACTTAATGCACCTCCACTTTGCTTCCACTTTCCTTACATTATATTTGAATTCAACCCCACTACCTAGACGTTATTATTTATTGTTATCCTTGCGATGCGAGTTGTGGCAACTGGATCCACCGTACCTCGGATCATAGTTGATCAAATGAACTTAACTGGGCGATATTGTTTACTTTTACTGCGGCATTATGGTTCGTCAAAGACGCACACATCATAGGATAGAAAGACAAGTGGCTTCCACATGTGACGCAAGCAAATAAAAATTCTCTTAGAAAAAGAAAAAGCACGACGCAATGCAGTAGCTGTCGTTTGGCAGAAGAACAAAGATCAAGCAGTTCGATGGAAAGTTTACCAAGGGAACTGGGAAGGTTTATGAAAAATACGGGATACGATAAATCCCGCGGCATCACCAGTAGCTACACAGTTTAAACGATACGCCTTACATCATAAGAATAACAGATGTGGGGCTCCATATGCAATAGAAAATTCCAGCAAAATGGACAGAAAAATACCACTAACCTGGCATGATGCTGGAACCCGGCTCATTAGGTGGAAGCAGCAGCTCGCCAAACCCACAACCGGGACCGGAGCTGAGGAGAATAAAGTCATCGGCCAGTTTGAAAAGTACCGTGGCTGTACGGTTAAACGCACTGCTTAGTTGTAAAAGCGTGTCGTGGCCAGCCAGAGCAGCAAACTTATTTTCAGCAGGTACGAATTCTAAATCCACTGCATGCTTGCTTGCAGCAGTCGGCAACTAGATGGGTCAAAGAGAATAATGAAGTGATAAAATAAACCAAAGAAAGAAAGGAATGCCATAAAGCAAAACCATTCTGCTGCAATCCATATATATTTGAGGACGAGTAACCGAAAAAGCAACGCAGACCGGGGAAAGTGGAGTAGCCAATAAACAGGTAACGTTAAACATCAAGCTGAGATCGGCAAAAAGGTGAAAAAGAACAGTCCAATGAACCGATGGGAAACGCCTTGCACATAGAATGAATTGAGGAAGGAAAGAAAGCCGGAAAGAGAAACCAGTTAGTGAATTTGCATTCAGCTACAATCCCTCCGGGAGTGAAGTGACAGACGCATTGAACTACTAACATAACGTGCTGGTTGGGAAGCACTCCAGGCGACTTCTTAGATATTGCTGTGCTTGATTTGCACATACCTTTGCCCGAAACAGAGACAATCTCTGTATTCCACAAATCAATGTCGCCTTCAACATTCGTGAAAGATGAGGTAGATAGAGAGAAAATAGTGGTAAGCAGTAACGCAAAAAACCACAATATGCTGGCTCAGCCACACATGAATTGGTGACTTTCTTTTAACAATGTTGTTCCCTCTGAAAGGCATACGTAGCCTCAAAAGAGGACAAGGAGCATCCCTGCGTCAGTGACTATAGGATATCAAACAATTTCAGCCACACTAAAGGGCCACGAACTGATCAGCTACATCCGTAAAGCCAAGACTATCGAATGCGGTAAAAGAACGGAGCGTATAGGCAGCAGATGTCATAGCCGCATCGGTGGTTTCGGGGAGATAGCCGGAACAGGTTATTTGAATACAACTTCACAGGACTCAAAGCGACCCGCCACTATGCATTGTGCTCATGAGAAACAACCTCAATGACAAGTATGACAGCAAGTCAGATGTAAGATTAGCTGTTAATCCGTTCCGTAACCTAACGCATTCTGGAATTATGAAGGCTCAGTGTACTATTGGCAAGTAAGAGGAGGTGGGCGATGAAGAAGTACGTGCTTTTACCAAAGCGAGCGACATCACTTACGTGTACAGCTAGACAACTATGATACAGGCACCGAAGTGCCGTGAGCCCATTGATGAGTTAAGTCAACAGAATACCAATAAATAACAAGAGCAGGAAATGTGGTTAAATGCAAATAAAATAAAAGCAAAGGTGCATAAAACTAATTAGGGTGGAATGAAAATTAACAGCTACATGGAAGAAACGGAATCCAGGTACACCACTGACTGAGCCATGTCCGATAAGATCTCCGACCACTGGTGTAGACTATGTCGGGGCCCCCGTCCACGAAGACGGAATGCACAAGCCTGATCAAGCCTTTCGGCCAGTCACCTCATGCCTTTATGCCACGTCATGGACTGATCACCCCGAAGTTTCGCCCAACTTGGTACAGCCATGATGTATGATGCACGCTGAGGAAACCGGCCAACAGATACCCGAAGGACATGTAAATTGAAGAAGCGAAGCACACGTCGAAGCTTGTAGCGGTATGTATCAGTCTGTTCAAGTGCTCGCATAGTCCCTACATCAGATCTAAGGTTTGACAGTCGGCAATCTGACAGAATTTGCATTTCGGAAGAGTTCGAAACAACGGGGTAATTCTGGTCATTTCGACTATAAAGTTGAAGAGGAAAGCTTCGGTGGACTTAAGTAAACAACATCGCCAACTAAAACACGGTGAACCCCATCTACAGAATGGTCAGTGGAAAGCGAAATTGACGAGGCCCCAACGAATGCGATTCGGTGGTCAAATTCCTACAGATCGAGCATAGAGACAGAAAACGTAAAAGCAAAGGTTAATGGAAAGATCAAGGGAGAAAAAAACGTGATGTTTAAAGGGGGGATTCAGCAGTTTCTAAACACTTACATCAAGAAACAACTTTTTCACCAAATTGTTTAGTTCGAGACACACTTGTTTGTCAAACCCCTTGGTGCTGTTCAATCCCGTGCCGACAGCCGTGCCACCCACAGCAAGTTCGCAAACAGAAAGTAGACTGTGCTTAATGCAATCAATTGACTGCCGCAGCTGTGTCGTAAAAGCCCCGAGTTCTTGACCAACAGTCATGGGTACGGCATCCTGAAGGGAGTAAAGATAGAGAGGTACTGCAAATTTGATAAGCCCAATACCTGAAGATGAGTTCTTCCGATCTTCACAATGCTCGAAAAAGCTTCAGTTTTCTCAGTGAGGGCGCTATGGAGCGTTTTCAAAGCTGGAATAACCTTCCATGCCGTTTCGAGTGCGACAGAAACATTCATCGCAGTGGGAAATATATCGTTAGAACTCTGGACCAATATGAGTAAGAGCCTCTTACTTGCCCGCAATTGACGTGATCGTTTGGATGAATCTGTGGCTTATCGGTACGATTTCCGTTCAAAATTTCATTGGCCCTATTTGCAATTACTTCGTTTACGTTCATGTTGCTCTGCGTTCCTGAACCGGTCTGCCAGATGGAGAGGGGGAATTCTTTGTCCAACTGTCCACTATACACTTCCTGGCAAGCTTTCTTGATTGCTTCCGCGTGCGAAGCACTGATGCGGGCGTATTTACAGTTGATATCAGCCGCAACCTCCTTCAGCATTGCAAGGGAATGAATGATAGGTAGCTATGAAAAAAGGAGTTAGACCGCTTCAACACAGCTGCTTCAATTACTGGCATTCTATCGTGAGAACGATTAATGTTAAAGTGCTTCATCGATCTCGCTGTCTGAGGTCCGTAGTAAGAATCAGCGGGAATCTCTATCGGTCCAAAGCTGTCGCTGACCAGGCGCATATTGGGATCATTTTTTGACATTGTAATGGAACGAGAGTAACCTAAAACAACGAAAAGAATGTAGGCAAGAGTGAATCCATGTTGTCGAAAGTAAAGCATATAAAAGGATGTGTTTGGTGGCATGGAATAGGTAGCGCAACGTATAATGAACGAACAACCGATTGACAGTATGTACTTCTGAAGATAACACGGTTCATATGTAGCTAAAGGCAGTTAGCAAAGTAAAACAGTAAGAAAAATCGAGGTATCACACTGAACAAGATGGTTGCGGAGCGAACAGTCGAGCCAAAATCCTAAAAGCTTAGTGACCTTTGCCTGCGTAATCTGATGGGGTAAACGGACAGGTTGGATGAATAGTTCACAAAAGATTTGGTTTAATATGAACAAAGCTCGAGTGCTGGTAAAAAGGTCAATAGTAAGAAGAAAGCTGGTACAATAGTGAGTGATTCTAATGCAAGATATAAAACAATCCAGTTATTGTTTGAATAGTGGATTTCCGATCGAGACCCAAATCACCTAATTGACTTTCGGAAGACTAGTACAACAGCCCAGAAAATCTAAAACAGGGTGCCTATTTTCAGTGGTTATTGTCCCACAAGAAGTAGATAAGATGTCATGGGTTATTCATATCGTATGAAGTTGAACAAAAAAACATTAGCGGAAAAAACCGCATGCCTATTCACGAAAAAGACCGGCTGAAATATTGTGAGGAAAGAGAGAGCGGAGCGTGCAGCAAACTGAAACCAGTTCAAAGGCAGACGAGCTGCTCAGATAGAACAGTAACATTTGAGGGACCCAATTCCGAAGATGAATGTGCAGGAAAAAATACTGAGAAGAAACACTCGCTGGTCAGTAAGATTGAAAAGAGAAATACGGATTTCCCAAAAGCACAATGATTAGAGCCAGTAGAACGGGTTAATGGTGGCAATGGAGACTTCCTAACAAGTGGGATATAGAGGAAAGAAGACTCTATTTAAAGTGAAAATACTAGTTCATTAGAAAGCTAGAAATAAGATGAAACGATATCCGGCTAATGCATCAGGCTAAACCGGGAGAGTTTGCGAGAGGGGCTAGTGAGGTTTCGGAGGGGTGGATTTCTACATCATTAGAAAGACAGGAAAAACACAGTAAGACGTCCCTCACTGTCGCCTTGAGAATACGGCTTTTGGGATCGAGGGAAACCGCTTTCCGGGTCCAGAAATGTCGCAGAGTAAGGATAACAGTTCTGGCTTCTGAGATAAGTGAACTGACTTCAGCGGTTATGCACCCATCGTTGCCAATGCAGTCGCCAAAGTAAATGAATTGATTGACAACTTTGAGCATCTAGCTATCAAGGGTTGAGGGATCACCGATCGGCGAGCGGTGCTGTAATAACACATGTTGAAAGTAGGAAGCGCATGCCAAATAATTGGATCATACTACAGAGGTTGATCAGGGTTGATTGGAATGGCCCAAAATAGTTAAAAAGCAAGATAATATCGTCCACATAATAAGGATCAACCTGCTTTTCACCAGACAGTACCACAACGACTGCACCACGAGAATCCGCAACAAAACATCATGACGGAGTCCACGACAAATATAAAGAAAATGGGGAAATCGAACAACTCTGAAGAACGCCACTTGTTGTCGGAAAGATATCCGACAGGTCAATGAAGACCCTAACGCAACCTGCAGAGTTTGAGTATAGAGTATGAAAAAAGTTCAAATATTTCATGGGGACACCTTTCTGCGCAAGTATTTCGAACAGAAAACATCGATCGAATGAATCAAAGGCACAACTGTTGTCGGTCTGCGGTACGTGTGGCGTTGCCCTAACACCTGCCGAAGAGTGAATATGATCTGTACGTCCCCCTACAGGGCGGAAGCCTGCTTACTCTTCCCTAATCCGAGATTCCCATGTCGGTGAAGAGACGAACGAGAATTGAGGCTAGTAATTTTGTCACAACTGGCGTTAGGCTAATACCCATGTGGTAAGCACGGTCGGTGTGACTACTCTACTTTTCATTATAATCGAGTTACCCCAGTTACCTGAGGTGGTCTCCTTACAAACCTGTTCGAACAGGGCCAGGGCTTTACAGAGGACCTTACCTCCACCCTTAACTAGCGCAGGTGCGAGGAAATCCGGGCCAACAACACTAAAACGATTAAGGGCTGTAATCGTGTTTCAGACCTCAGTCTCCGATGGAGTCTCTAAGCCGTCCGTGGCTCAACCAGCATCACCTAAGTGGGAGGAGAGCCAGGAGCAATGGGCCAACTGAACTGATCTCGAAAGTGTTTCGCCATACGAACCATACCGTGTTCCCTATTGTGAATCAGGACACCCATGCTGTGTCTGATTGTCTCAATGACATCTGGTTTCCTGGGACCGGTGGTGCGGGTCAGCTGGAAGAGCTTGCGATAAGCACCTACTGCTTCCACTTCCACAATTCGATGAGCCCTACTGATCCACCAAGCTTTCTTGTCAGCACGCAGACTCCGCTTTAGATCGCGTCTGTTATTCCGTCTGGTCACGTGCTCAAAGCCAGTAGGGAAATTTCTTCTGGATACCAACAAATTCACCGACCTCTCGCAGGCTCCCACATTTTGCATGGCAGCGGAGACTATTTTACTGAGAGAGAGAGAGAGAGAGAGAGAAAGTTGGCTACTTGAGGCATCCTGGCAGGTTTGTTTGACCAGAGACTGAGGAAAGTTCGCAGTTGCGAATTGAGGGAGGCGCTTGGTACGCATCCCGGTAAAGTTCGGGAAAAAATGATGGCGTACCAAGGAATGATCAGAGTCGACGCACGTATTCCAGAACGAGCGACCATCTAGGGTGGAACTACGAGACCAATAACTTACGGCAATGTGATCTACTTAAGTACAATCGATGGCCAGCTACGGGTGGATGCCAAGTGATACTTGGGCGCCCACTGTGTCTGAAAGCGATGCTATTAAGAAACAGCCGGTGCTTCACATGCAGTTGCAACAGACGCTCGCCGCTTTCTGTAGAGCAAGAGCTAAGTCTATACTTACTACCTAGACGGGCTTCTGCCGAACGGTGGAGCATCAGTACACATGTACTGCAGTTGATGATGAAGACCTCAGGAGACCTAGCTGGGCATTTATTTCCCCTGCAACAACAGCGATATCTGAACTGCTGACACTGCGAAGCAGCGTGTTCAGTTCGTGGTAGACAGCATCAGAACTGCCATCGGTGGGAACATAAGCGGAAATCACAAATACTGTCCGGTACTACTTAATGAGTCAGTTTTAGTTGATACCATCAGACGGGCTGCTCATGGGAATCCAAAAAATCAATGATGGCTCAGTTTTAGAGCTGAAAACGATACCTAACTCATCTTGACCGGTAATCACCACATAAGCGTCTCCGGATACGTGCAACCAATACCGAGAGGACAAGCCGGGTGCAGTTAATTTAATACCCTCATTGAGTCATTGATTGAAGTTTCGGACACACAACGCACGTCAATATCCAATGTGTCCAAGGTGCGTGCAAGTGCAGCCTGTTTACCTCCTTAGCTTAAAGCGCGAACGTTGAACGCCGCCAAGAAACGGTACAACGCGGCCTTATAAGGTACGGTTGTTAATGGGCGTACGGTGGGTGTTGCGAGAAGGTGGTTGCAGTGGTCACTCGGTTGCTGTCAACTAAACTGGGGATTATAGAAGGGGGTTTAGTAATGGGGTCGAGATGGGAGTAAGAGAAACAGGTAGAAAAGAAAAGAGGAAGACGCCAGCAGTAACATGTTTTCGCTTATGCGCCCTGCTGTATGCAGCAGATAAGGCGACGCTTGATAATCTGCGAGACAGCCGTTTGTGTGCAGCCCGTTTGACGGCATAAGCTAAGGTTGACGAACGAAGTAGTACAAGGCGCTGTTTGTTTGTGATTTCCGCTTATGCTCTCATCGATTAAAGTTCTGATATTGCCAAGGACACGAACTGAACGCGCTACTACGCAGTGCTACTAGCTCAGATTTCCCAGTACTTGCAGAGAATATGAACGCACAAGTAGGGTACCTGAGCTCTATAGAAACTCGGCAGGTGGTAATTATAGGCTTAACTCCGAAAGAGCTGACAACGGCCAGCTTTTGTTGCAAGTGTGCGGAGAAACAGATGCACCGCTTTTAGACACAGTGGGCGCCGAAGTGCCACTTGACGTCCTCCTGTAGCTGACAATCCAAGGACCCAAATTGATCACATTGCTATAAGTTACAGATGGCATGGTTCCATCCTGGATTGCCGCTTGTTCTGGAGTACCTGCGACGACTCGTCATGCCTTGGTACCCTGTCGTTTCTCCATGAACTTTACCTGGAGGCGCACCAAAGGTCTCACCCGACTGGTAACGGAGAAATTGTCTCAGCTCTCGGTCAGACAAGAAAAACAAGACGCACTGCGTAACGACCTATCGCTGTCTTGTCCTAATGACACTGAGCTTCAGTGGAATAGGATCTCGCCGCCATGCACGAAGCAGGAGCATCTGCTTGTGGCACTATCAATCGTCACCGCATCAGTCACTGGATAGCCGAGAGGTCGTTGAACTTATTGGATTCAGGAAGAAAACTCCATGCTGACCCCGAGCACAATGTGACCAGACGGACTATTAGGCGCGAAATAAAGCGAAGCATGTGCGCTAACAAGGAAGACTGGTGGACCAGTCGGGTTCAAAAAATGGAGGAGGCAGGAGCAAGCCCTTCCAGCTGATCCGCACCACCGGTCCCAGGAAGCCAGGCGGCATTGAGACAATCAGAGACAGCATGGGTGTCCTGATTCACAATAAGGAACGCCGTATGGTTCGTATGGCGAAACACTTTCGAAATCAGTTCAGTTGGCCCATTGCTCCTAGCTCTCCTCCCACTTAGGTGATGCTGGTTGAGCCACGGAAGGCTTGAGACTCCATCGGAGGCTGAGGTCTGAAACAGGATTATAGCCCTTAATCGTTTCAGTGCTGCTGGCCCGGATTCCCTCGCACCTGCGCTAGTTAAGGGTGGAGTAAGGTCCTCTGTAAAGTACTGACCTCCGTATTCGAACATATCTAGGAGG